GGAGAGAGAGAGAGAGAGAGAGATGGTTGGTTAGTGGTTCGCGGAAGGGGGAAAATAGAGGAATTGATGGCATATGATCCGTTTGGGTCACATCTTTCTCTCTCTACCATTTGCCTTCCCTTAATAATTATTATTATTATCATCCCTATGGATCCCAGCCAAGCATGTGCATATTTCCAACGCGCCTCCCCCCTCCTCCTAAAGTTGCCCCTCGATCCTTTGCTAGTTTCCAAAATATCCTTTTGAAGGGTACCCTCCCATGACTCTAAAGTATCCTTTCATTTCAGTATTTCACTTTCAAGCACAGGTCCTTACTTTTAAAAGCAAAGACCAAAACCTTGACAGGGATTGGCCTCCAATAATATCATTTTACATGTTCTAGTGAAATGTGAATAAGTGAGGAGCCGTCTTGTAATGCTCAACTTAAAGATAATCAAACCGACACCACGCTTTTAGTCAATGGGTTGGTCGGACCTGGATCTGTACCCAAAAATATGATATGAGATTAGGATTCGGATTCAACTGGATTCGACTCAAAAATTAAAATATTTATATAATTAAATATATTTTATATATCGAGATCCAAAAAATATTGATGGATCAGGATCCAGATTTGATTATACCCGATCAAACCTAGACCCAAATAGTATTCAGATTCAAGATTTAGACCTAGATTCATACCCTATCAGCCGGATCCAATTTTTTGAACCATGACCAAACCCGGATCCGGTCTATCCTCCTACCCCGGGCCCCTGGTCGGGTCTGGGTCCGGATCCATTGTAACCCCTACTTTTAGAGTTCCATATGGAAGGCAGGTATAAGCCTGTTAGTGCTCAGGTACACAAAATTCAAAAATTTGTTCTTCCCTTACTGAATTCAAATTTTAAGTTGACCTTCTAAACGCTGTCACTGTTAAATATTCCTGTTTACACTTGAGTGAAACTTTGAATATACCAGCACTTTAATTTGACCCATTTTGTAGTTTTCCAATTTGACATTCCTATATGGAAACAAAGTTAAAGGGAAGGGAGGGGGGGCCTCGTGGATCACGCACTTGGGTGCGCCCCCCTCCCTTTCAAAAAAAAATCCATCACAGACATGGAATGTGGATTCAAAGTTTGAGTATAGATAAGAATCCGAAATATTAAAATGAATTTTGAAATTAAAAAATGATACCTTTTCAATTATTATCTTTTTGCACCCGAGTTCGGGGATATGTGATAGAGTTTTCTAAAACTAAAAGCCTCTTACTTGTGGAAATTCAGATGAAAATTCACTCGTATTTGCAAATACCAAATTTGTAATATAATACCTTTTTCTTTAAAAAACAAAAGGAAAATGCATGTCAAGAAGTTTTCCAAAATTTAGCAAGCAATTTTTATTGAAAAGCATTGATAAAAAGGCCGTTCATTGACTTAGAATCGTCTGAACATGGAGATGGATGACTTCAAGTGGGAAAGCCCCAAGATTGCCCGATTCCTGCACTTCTTAAAATTATTCGTAATAACATTACAAATTATGGCCCAATCCGACTCGAGAGTTATCTAATTCGGCCCTAGAGAATGGGAACCGGACCCGTACCAAGTCGGGCCCGATTCCACTTTTTAAAAGATTGATTGAACGCTTTAACCATCAAGCAACATAAATATGCAATTGTCGCAACTTACAGCGAGAACAATCATAGAAACCCAATATGTGATTTCAACTGCTTTTGGAGCTGAAATATAAAGAAATATGATATGTGACTCATGACCTACTCATAACAGGACGCAAGATAACGTCATGTTTAAGTGTCCCATATGGTGGATGGGTCACTATATTAATAGCCCTAATGCTTTATAGAAGAAACACAAGTTAATAACAACCCTAGGGCTCGAGTAGTTAGATAGTCATGATAGGAATACTGTGTCTTAAGTTCGATTCTTACAACTGAACTACCAAAATAATAATAATAATAATAATAATAATAATAAAATAAAACCTTTCTACTCGAAATAAAGATGTTCATCCCCTAAAAAATGTTAAAAACAATAACAAAAAGAAAATAACAAGGCAAAAGATTTAATGCTTACTTCTCCACTTAAGCCGGAGTACTTTTAAAATTTTGCCAATATAACTTCCTCAACCTAGCCATTAATCTAAAAAGAAACAAATTGATATATACTTACTACCTCCATAAAAATTAAAAACAATAATTGAAGAGTCTGATCAAAGTGCTCAAAAACTCAAAAACCTTTTTATTTAATTGGATATAGTTGTTTAGTGATTCTTAATAAGTTCCAGAATCTAGAAACTGAAAATCCTTATTATCTATGGATATAATGTTTAGTGATTCCAAGCAATCTTAAATTTTGAGATCTTAACTACCGGATTTTTTCTCTTACAGTACTTCATGATTCGGTATGACTACCCTATTCTAGAGTTGTAAAAGTACAAGCTGTATTTTTTTTATTATTATTAATGAAAATCGGGGGGCCTTCTCCCCTACTAACTTACGCAAAAAAAACAGTTCTCCCCTACTTACCCAAAAAAACAGTTCAAAATTTCAAGGAGGAAAAAAAACTTCTAAGCATGCTTTTTGGCCTAAAAAGCAAGTGTAAAATATGCTTCCACAAAGTTACGCTCTACATGCTCAAAAAACAACATTGTTGCCCAAAAACTTGGTCACGATGCGTAGGACCTATTATATGGAGCAGCTTGATATGCTTCAAATTTGGCTCTTTTAATAATATTGGATAAGGTTTAACAAATGTGTTAAACTTGTAATGTAGAAATAAAATGTACCATAAGAACTTACTGGAGAGGGCTATTTTTTAGAATGGAACTTTTTAATTGATCATTTTGATCTTGACATATATTAACAAGGAAAAAGAAATAGAAGATTTCAAGTCCTAAAAATATTATACATTGGAAGGTATTATTTAGACTCTCTCTTTTTAAGATTTTCTCTTTTTAAGATTTTCTAGGTGCTTGTAGATTTTTTCATTTGCACCATATTTGAAACTTCAAAATTTTATAATTAGAGAGTGAAAATAGAATTTCAACAATTTGGACATTGAAAGTGCATCTTTTAAAATGAAATAGTACATATAAGCTGTCAACCTAACCTTATACTATAGAAGAAAGGTATACCTAAAAAACCCATTGGAGAGAGTTGTTCTATGATTGAAAACCTTCAATAGATCAGCTCAACCCCTAGATTCATGGATATTTTAAATAAATAAAAAAAACGGGGGATTTCTAGCCCAAAAAATAATTCATCTTCAAAAAGATTATCTGGATTGTCCACTTTCAAGATTTTCAAGTATTTATAGATCTTCTTGATTGTCACTGTTTTTGAGATTTAAGTTTTAAAATTAGTGGAGGCAATAGATTTGCATGCCATCCAAGGCTTTAAAATACCAAAAATTTATGTTTTGGCATGGTGGTGAGGTTTGTCTTACTTCAAATAGTTAAGGGGTGGCAAAGTCCAAAATGTTGGACCCGAGTCAGTTCCGAAAGGTCAGGTATGGGAACAAGTCAATCAACCAAGTCAATCAACCTAGACTCAAGCCGGATACACACACACACACATATATAAATAGAGCACTTTTTGAGTTTCTTGCTCACACGGGCCCATATCCTTGCTTTTCTATCAATCTCTAATTCTAATATTCTTCTGTGATCTGATATTATGGTGCCGGTATAAATAGAAATCCCGTTATAGTCCAATTCTGAATGGTAATAAATATTGGGGTTTTAGAATTCTATATATTTCATTTAATATAAAGGTTCGTAGAGAATTCATTAGAGGAACATTTCCAATAAATAGGATAAGCCAACCTAAGTTGCTTGCTTTCAAGCGTTTGCTTGCAAAAAGGACCCAATTGGACACCTATTTTTTTTTAATGACTCGGAACCTTATGGCTTTTGATGCTCCACTGCGAGCTAAAATATTTTACTAAAAATTTTTATATATAATTTTTTTTGGTTAGATTATATGCTCAGACCAAAAGTTGGATCCGGCTCCAAGTTTTGGACACGTTGGATCAAGTCCAAGTCCAACACTCTAGACCCGAGTTAGGTTTGGGTCGATTCCAATGGAAATAGACCCGTACCCAACCCAAACCATGGCAAACCTCACTAGTTATAGAACGTTTTTGTTTTGTTTGGTGGTGGGAGCGTAAGACCGACCTAATAATGGTCCCCCCACTTGGTCTTCGTTAAGACCTTTTATACAAACATTGGCCTTAAATATATTTCCATATCATATGATCACCAAAATTAATTACCGTTTACAATGCAAAAGGTGATTGACGGTATCTCAAATACAAAAACTCGGGGCATTCTCGTCATTTTTCCGTGAGCTGTACTGATCTGGCCGACTAAATGACATCTACTTTTTAGCTGTGAGTTAATGGCACAAACAAAAGAGGACAAGGGCAATACCGTCATTTCACAATCTAGAAGGAAAGGGTAGGAGGACTAAACGGGATAAGGACAGGGGAAAGGGCTGTCTTCCGTTAATGCGGGAGAATAAGGAGGGTAGTTTGGGAATTATGCCTGACGTAATATTAATATCCGGTCAGCCCCCCATGTGGTTAGAAAAGGTCGTATGGAATAATATGGAAGAGGAGAGAGAAACACCGATGGACAGCAGGCCACAGGTATAAACGAGTTAAGAGTTAGAGAGAGAAAATCATATAAAGGTTGAGAGGGACAGGAGTTTTAGAGAGAGAAAAAAGGTTAGGAGGAGCATGGGTTGGTGAATAGTCATCGTCTGCATCGAATTACGCATCTTATCACAATCCGCCCTCCATTTTATTCCCTGCAAAAATAAAAGGTAAATAAAGGCTTTCTCTCACTAAAACTAAAATTATTTCTCTCTCTAAACTTTCTTGAAAATCTTTCTCTCTCTAGACTCAAATTGTTTCTCTCTCTAAACTTTCTTTTCTTTTTTTTTTGGCGTTAATATCCGGGGTGTTGTAACCGATGAGCTTTTCTGAGGCACACACCGCCTGCGTGGGGAATTAAATAAAGGAGGTGTGGGTTTGCAGGGGCAAGGGCACTCTCTTTATTTTTGCTCCTCTCTTCTCTCTCTCTCCTCTATAAAGCGCTCAAACCCCTAGTCATCTTTTCCTTCTCCTCCTCCCCACCTTCAGCTCTCCAACTTTAACAACCTATCCCTCTGCAGGAGAGGTACTGCAGTCTTGCCCCTGCTTTCATAATCTACTCTACTGTATTTTCTCTTCTGGGTTTCATACATCAGATCGAGGTTATTTGTTTCTATCCTCTTTTTTCAAATCTTTTTCTCTCAGGAATTACCAGGGTTTTCTGCTTTCGATTTCTCTAGATGTAAAGTTATAAGATCTTTATATTTGATTTATTTGAACAATTAAAGGTTCGGTTTTTGCAAAGGTTTTCTTGATTATGATTGGGTTTATATTCTTTCTTTCCGGTATTTGTTGGAAATCTCGGCTTTTTTCTTCTTCTTTTTTTTTTTTTCTGTTTTGTTTTGTCCTTTTAGAAAGTGGGTTTTATGTCCTGAATTATTCATTTTTCATTGTTTGGGTGAAAATCTTGTTTGTTTATCTCTTTAGGCAAATAAGCTGGGATCCTATGTCCTGATATGGAGCGCCAAACCGGATCGGGCACTCAAAGTGGTCCGGACCGCCGTTTTACTGTGCACAAAAAATAGCGAACTGGCAAAAAAATCAATGAACCGGCCAAAAATCTTCCCGGACCGGTGAATCGGCAGTCTCACTGTTTTATTTAATCGAACCGGCGTTTTCATTTTTGACTCGGCTGTTTTTCTATATGTACGCAAAACCGGGAGTGATTGATTCCCCGTTCGGATTTAAATCACTATGTTAGATTCATGTATTTTATTCAGTATTTACCCCGGCAATTAATTTTCTCCTTTTCCTTCTCTTATTTCACGAATCACATAAAATCTCTTTTTCACGTAGATCTGAACATATTTGGCCTGTAATCTAGATGAAAATGTTTGGCTTCTAATCTGCCTCTATGGTTTTGCTTTTTGTTGCTGTTGTGATCCGAAATTTTGCCTCGTGATCTAATTTTCTCATGTCGATATTGCTTTTTGCAGTTGTGGGGAGGGCTTAAGCGGCAGCCCAAACAATATTTTATAAATAAAGCTCAGATCTGTGTAAATAAGGGACGAGATAGAGATAGAGAGAAGTGAAGAAGAAGATGCATCACTGTGCTGTTCAAAACGCCTTTGCAGCTTGTGAGGAGATGATGAGAACCTCTTTAAATATTGCAGAGAAAAAGGAGCCCGTCGTGTGTCCTAAGCCCAGAAGAATCGCACCCTTTAACCAGCCCATGTACAGTGATGCGGTCCGGCCATTGAGATGGCAGCTAAGGTCATCTCTCTCTCTCTCTACTAAAATAAGAAGGGCCGTAACCCGGTGCTTGTCCTGCCTAAGCAGGGTCCGGGTCCTAACTTTTGACTCATGCACCCGCCCCGGCTACTTGAACCTTTTTACCGTCCCACCAAAAGTGCTCTAATTAAGTTGTTTATTTATCTTCCTTTCAAAAACCTATGCTCTTATTTCTTGTTCTTCACAAAAAATTTGGAGTTTCATAAATAGGCCTGGGCCGGACTGAACCAGACTGGCCTTAGCCGAGCTCTGCCCAAGTTCTACTCTTTCTTATGCTGGGTCAAACGGCTTTTTCTGCACGTAATTTTTACCGTCAATTTTGTTGTTTGGTTGCGTAAGATATTTTTGTGGTGAATGATCGCTGATTTTTTTCTGTGATGAATATAGCAGCCATCCAACGGATCAGATGGACTCAAATGCGAGCAACGAGCTCCTCGACATAATTCTCACAAAGGTTAGTAATAACCCTAATTTCATATTTAATGAAATAAATGTCCCGTGTTTTTAAGTGGCTCGCATTTAATGAGGCGTTTTTTCATATTAATACTAATCGGCAGTCAATCATAAAAAAAACTCCCACACTTAATTACGTAAAGAAATTAAATTAAACAGAGTCTTTGATATTTTCCTCACGACTGTTATTTGATTATTTTTATTCCGGCTGACCGAATTCTAGGTCATAAGATTTGTTCACCTTTTTATAATTTTTTTAGCGTTTTCTATTTTTAGTAAGAAGATTAATATTCCTTCTCGGCCTCTTTCTATTTTGTAGATAATTAGAATTACTGATTTTTTTTCTTTATAATTTAATTACACAGGGAGAATACGTGGGGTGTTCTCCTCCTTATTTTTGTGGCTCGCCGCCAAGCCGAGCAGATAACCCCTTGGTCCAAGATGCCAGATTCATCGATGGTCGAGAATCACCGGTGGGGAGATCCAACGGCTACCCTTCGCCATCCTCGTCATCGGCTACATCATCATCCCAAAGAAAGGGGTTTGTTAGGGCTAGTTTCGGTCATAAACCGGCGGCTGTACGCGTCGAAGGTTTTGACTGCCTTGACCGAGACCGTCGCCGATGCAGCATTCCGGCGATGGCCTGAGTTTTGGGGCCAATTTTCAACCTTGCCCACTCAAAAATACAGGAGAGAGAAACTAGATATTTGAGAGAGAGAATTGGATAGAGCTCTAAAAAGGAGTCTTCTTCTTCAGTTCTTTGTCTTTGTGTCCATGTAAATGTGAATGTATATGGAGAGAGAGAGAGAGAGAGAGGTTTCCCTGCAAATAAAGGATGGCATGGTATGGTTCTGTCGTGGCTTTTTGGCATGATGGGCATATTGATGTGGTCTCTGTACAATTAGGTTTTGAGGAGAGAGATAGGGAAAGATGGGTCTTGGGTTTTTTTTTCTTGTTTTTTTATGCGGCTTTGTCGCTTGAGATATAATTTGTACAAAGAATGTGTCCTCTGAGAATTCTAGGGTCTTTTGTTCCATTATCCTTTGTATATATCCTTGATATTACCGAATTGTTGCCTTGGTTGGTTTTTTCAATCCATCCCCACTTTTACATCGTGCATGTCATTTCTTTTCGCTCTATTTTTCTTTTCTACATGGGTTTTATTTCCCCACTCTCTCTCTTGATTCCTTGAAGAAACAAAATGTAATCTTCGCCGGCAAATTAGCATCCGATTTGAAGTCTTGTTGAACTTAAACAAAAGAGATTTTTACAAGATGCATTAATTGTAGGGTTTGATTTTTTTTTCTATGTATCCGAAGTTAAGACCGAAGATCAATCAGAATGTCACGTGAGAACACTCTGTATTGGATTTTTGAATTTTTGAAGTGCAAATAATATAGAGTCGCAACCTCTATCACACTCTATTGGATTTTTGAACTTTTGAGGTGCAAATAATAGAGTCGCAACCTATATGATTTTACCCATCTTTCATGTGGTTGTTTTAAGGCCGAGGTGGCCTAAATGGATTCGGAAATCTTCTACTGATTTGAGTTTGGCGCTGTGTTTGTCTTTCTTGTTTGTTTTTTTGGTACATGGATGTTGATTTGTTCCATTCTATGGGCGATTCGGTGGTCTCCCATTTTGTTGTGTTCTCATTGCTTTGATTAATTTACTTTGAAATCATGGCTAGTTTGGGGTTTTTTTTTTGGATGTATCGATTCAATAGGGTTTCTAAATGGAGTTTCCAAAACTAGTGAGTTGGGCTGTTCAATATTGTCGAGTAGTAACCACTAAGAAAAAATATTGTCCAGTAGGCATGGCATATAAACCATCGATGCAGATTAGGCTCATTTTCTTGTTATCTTTTTTCTCGTGCATCATCATTAGCATCATCACCATTTCCAACTATTTGAAGTCGGCTATATGATTTTTGTTCTTCTGCATCATCAAACTGTAATTAAAAACCCTGTCCCATGATTCTAACCCGACTACTAGTGTGTCTCAAAGCATATGTTAAAATCAATTAGCCTGGTTAGACCCAGGCTGAGCCTTGGTGATTCTCAAGGCGTACATTAAAATCAGTTTCAAAGTTGTTCATTAAAATCGGTTAATCGGGTTGTTCTTGCGTGGGTCTCATATTTATTCATCCGGACCTGGCATCTTGCCAGTGGGGGCGATATGGATAATTCCTTGAGTCTTTGGGCCTGCTTAAATGACAATTGATTTTATTTAGAATAGATTCTGTCTAAAATTAGTATACTCTAGATAGTGTTATTTTTGTTAGATGTTTGATATGTTCCTTGTTTAGTGTCATATCATTAAATAGTAAAAGTTTACATAAGGTTGCAAAGTTATACTATATAAGTAAGGTGCACCTCAAATATCTTGCAAAAATGAGTGTTTGGAAGTTGGAAAACCTTTTAATTGGTCATCTCGACCTAAAGATGTATGTATATTAAGTATTTTTATTTCAAATCCTAAAAATAGTATAGCTTGTAAAAAGTTGTCTAGACTATGTATTTTCCAGTCCTAATGAAAGCAATGTGGTTTAGCAAATTACTTTGAATAAATAAAAATAGTTTTAAAAAATATAGACTTCTATATAAAATTATTTATAAATTTATCTCAGATAATTTTATAATAGACAGTGCCAAGCGACAAATAATTCATTATTGAGATGAGTTTTATTGAAACAGTGAATTATAAGTGATAACCAATACTTCCAAACAAGCTCTCATATTATTCATCCAGAACTGGGACCTTGCTTAGTCTGAGTATAGTCGGCAATTTATGTGAGTCACCAATTCTTTAATGATTGCCACCAAACACTATCAACTAACTTTCATCACTTGTCTTTAAATTAGGAAAAGTTTGTCAACAAATGATATATGTTATTCAGTAATGGCATGTGAGAATTACATCCCATCTCCTTTTTCCTTAGGCTTGAATTATGCTGTGGTCCCTTCTTTGCTGTGAATTTTCCTAATGGAAGGGTGCATGAACAGTGGAAAATTTAAAATATTTGGGTGGACAAAAAGGAATCCCTTTCATAAAGGAGGAATCATTAGTTTTTTGGTACATTGATCATAACTTGGAATGTTGTGAATCAAAACTAATCACTAAAATTAATGGTATCTTTCTAATAACTAATATAACAATGGGAGTGCTTATGGTATTGAACCACTCTCAAAGGCTAACTAAATGATAGTCGTTTAAAATTCTCAAACAAACATTTGAGCTTGTTTTAAACCGTAGGATGAACTCTAGAAATACTTATCTTGCAATGTACGACATTTAAATTGGGACACGGTTTTATGAGTCTTATGACTCATATGTAGATATGTCTCCCCTCTTCATTACCCATTTTTTAGGTATGTATAATCTCTAACATGTTAGCTGTAGTTGTGCCTCTTCTCTTCGTTCTTTTCTCTTGTGGTTGTGCTCTTTTCGGTTCTTTTTTTTCTCTTTCTTTTTTTTCTTTGTTTCTTTGTAACTTTACATTACCTTAATGAAATACACATGCTTACTCAAAAAAAAAAATCTTTGACATGGAGAACATGGATGCGTTAAAAAAAGATAAATGTTAAAATCCAAAAATAATAATTTTTGAAAAGATTTCAAACCATTAATTTTACCTCTTTTTTTAAATTTTTTTTAATTTTTTTTTTGAGAGAGAACACAAACTCCACATCCATTTTTAAGAGGATGGATGTGGAATGCATCCCATACATAAAAGCACTTTACCTTTAAATTATAGGTGTGGTTTGCATAACGTTGCAATATTACACAATCAAATTATGGTGCAACTTCAAACTGTCATGAGATGTCATTTAGTATAAAAAATTCTTTGGATGGTGCAAGAATCTTTTTTTTATTTTTAAGTATAAAATTTTAAATTTAAAAAATGGTTCAAAGCAAACATATCTATAAATACACGAAAATCTTAGAAATGGATGTTCTAGATAATGTGTTTTAAGATATACTAATTTTACGACTTAAAATCTCTTTTTTTTCCCATATCTATACATCTTGATTATCAAAATGATCAATTAGATATTATTCCAATATCAAAACAACATTTTTCAAAGGATTTTAGAAGTTGACAATATTTCTACATTTTATGGTGTCAATCATATATATATATTTCTTCTTTTATATGTTAAATGATCAAGAGTGCTCTTTTGTTTGTTATAAGACCATTCACTTTTGGTAAAAAGAAGTCAAAATTACCTTGATGCCCGACATATTAAAGTGTATCACATGGTTGCAGAAATTTTATTTTAGATGTTGTGCCAAGTTCATGACGCAACCCTAGCCATGTGATTTCACATCTAATAGTCAACAATAATTATGACTTCTTTGTATCAAAAGGGATGCAGTTTGTATAGAGCCTAGGCTATAAATAATCAAATTAGAGCCTACCTTCAAATAGTATCGAGAAATGTGGTTTCAATATTGAAAATCTTTGTGATAGCCTTAAAATATATTTCATAATTATTTATAAGGTTTAAATCTTCAAAAATAGTGTAGATCCACGTATCTATGAAAACTTGAAAGTCTTGAAAATTGATGATCCAAAAATACATCACAAAATTACTATTTCCAAAACTTGCAATCCATTTTTTTCTCATGTTCATGCATCTTGATGTCGAGATGATCAATTTCAAGATATTTAAGCATCAAAACGACATCTTCTAATAAAATTTTTGAAGTAGGCTCAAATTTGATTGTTTAGAACCTTGGCTCTATATAAACTTTTCCCAATCAAAAGTCGATGACCTTAAACTTATCATCTACCCTTTGTCTTCCAAAAAAAACAAAAAAAATCAAGTTTAATTTCAATGGGATCGGGGTAGAGAGCTGGGGGAGAGAAAGGGCAGAGTGCTTTCCATGGGGTGGAGAGAGAGAACTTCTGGGGGACGTTTGATAACACAGGAAAAGAACTTTCCCAATTTATCACAGTTTATAAGCTTTCACCCATTTGTTTGGATGATGCAGTTTTTACCCCTAAAAATTTTCCACGGCTTTTCCTGTCCCAGAGAAAGACGGGGAATGCTGCAGACCACCCGAGGATAGTTTGTGGGTTTACTGAAACTGGGGAAAATTTTTATTTCACCCTCATTTTGAACAACATGTTGCCAGTGTGAACTCAAGCTCATGAAAGCCCCATAACCATTGACAATTGTTCTTCAGAGATCAAACCTAGAAAATCGCCCATTTGTGAAACTCCTAGTTTTCCTCAAACTTTACTTTCACAAACTCAAATCTTCAAAATTCAGAGCATAGGAAGCAAACTGCAAAAGGCTGGGAGGCTCATTAACTCAGAGATTTTCCAAACTGCATTTTCAAGGACATCATTCATTTGTTTCTATCCATTTTGAGGTTAATGATATAAATCCAGTAGAACATATTCATTTGTTTGGTTCATTAGCTCATAATGCCAATAAAAATGGTTTTCTTCTGTATGTTATTCAAACATGAGAAATCTAAGACACGGATTTTCATCACTGGCAGTTTTAGCTTATTTGTTCCACCTCAAACCAAAGATTAAGACCTTGTGACTACCCAAATGACTGAACAAATGGTCCAAAGAGATTGAAACTGAATTGAAAACCCTGACTTTCTCACTAAATGAATCATTTGCTGAAAAATCTTAAGGGGAATCATCGTTCTGCAATTGGTCTTTCAATTGGGCTTAAGGGGCTATGGATATTAAGCTTAGTTCTGAAGCATACAATTCAATTGTTGTTATTCTGGGTAAGAAGGGTCAGACAATGAGTTTTGGGGTTTGATCAAAACTACGCGAAAAGAAGGACACACTACATAAGAGGAAGCCTACAAAGTCATTTTGAATAACGTTAATGAGGCAAAATTGGTGAAAGATGATGAAAATTTGAAGAAATTGTCTATTTAAGAAACTGAGTCCCATTCATTTGTGCAAAAATATGCACTCAAATAGTTAGAATTTTCAGTGAAGAAACAAGTGAAAAATTGGGTTCGTTGAACATTTCTTTATTTGATTAATTGGTCATGAGTATTTTGGAACAACTTAGTGCTTCTCCCATAAAAGCTTTGATTTTCTTTAGTTGGGTTGCCCAAGTCTTTTAACCA